CTTGCAATGCAGTCAAATGCCTTTTTTAAGAAGGAGGAAAAATTGATTTGTTTCCGTCACCAGGTGCACGGGATATAATAATTAGTCTGCTCCTTTGATTACAGGGAGTTTTAGGACTGATATATATATATAGATGTAGTGTCCACTCCTAATTTCCCCGCATCTGGCAGGATGACAACAAAGTGTGCAGAACAAAGATAAAAGACGGAAGTGGAAAAGGTTTGTGCAAAATGTGAGGAAACATCCATTCTGGCATCTTCAGCAAGGTCTTGCAGCATGTTGACTGAAAGCTGCTGTCGTGAAAGTGAGGTAACTGGAACCAGATGGCCCAATTACAAGGAAGGAAAAGTTACAAAGGCACAGAAAGGCTCCTCCCCATGACCTCATCCGCATTGGCCCAATTCCTTCTTTTTTTTTTTTTGAACAAAATATTACTTTTTCAGTTCGCATGTCACAACAGATTACACAATGAATAACAATCATGCACAGCAAACATTTTGTACCCTATTCTCCCTCCCATCCCCAAATGAAAGAAGAAAAAAAACATAACTGCTGTTCCTCACTATTTCGTTAGATATATTTATTTTTATACTATAGGATAGTATTATTTATTAACATTTGGAATTAGTTTTAATTTAAATGTTAGTATTTTTGTTGTGTGCTTTTTTAATTACTAAATAGTGATTTCCAATAGTTTTCATTAATAACAACACTTTTCCCATGATATTTTGAGACTTGTGGAAAACCACAAAAGCTTTAAAGTTTTGAACTTTTCTATTATTATTCTTTTTTTTCAGGAAGTTTATATAGTTGTCAACATTTGATGTCAAAGTTGTCCTAAAACCTAAAACCAAAATGCGTTCTTGCCTTAGGACAACTTTGATGAACTTTTTTGATCCACTTCAAATGTTGACTACTGTAGATGTTTAGAAAAAAACACGTGATTTCTCTATTTTACAGTTCTGTCACATTGTAATAATACATTTTAACCGCATACAGAATACTAAAGTGTGTGTGTGTGTGTGTGAGGTGAGTGTGTGTGTGAGGTGTGTG